TAATGTATGTGATATTTTTTAAAATATTGTGTGTCAGTACTTGGAAGATTTGCATAACTCAGTGAACCAGTATTTCCCATATGACCAATGCATGGTGCTACAAATCATTCATGAATTAAAGATCTGTGGTGTCAAATAAAGATCTGTGGTGCAAAATACCACAAAGGATTTTAATGTAACAGAATAGCAAGTTACTGATGCAGTTCCAGATTCCACACTGCAACTAACCATTAAAACTACTACTGTCCAGTTTTGGAATAGCATCGAGTAAGAATACTCACATTAATTGAAAAGGTTATTAAAATATTCCTCTCTTTTCCAGCTATATCTGATGAAACTAGATTTTCTTTAAATACTTCAACCAAAAAAACATATCACAACACACTGAATGCAGAAGCAGGTAGGATATTCCAGCTGTTTTCTATTAAACCACAGATTAAACAGGTGCAAAAATATAAACAGTATCACTTTTTCCACATTTTTTTTTTGTTTTGGAAAGTAGTTAATTTTTATAAAAATATGCATAATTTGTATATAATGAGCTTATCATTTTTATTTTAAAATAAATCAGTAAATAAATATTTTAAAATTTCTTAACTGTAATTTCTAATATGATAAATTAAAGGCACATTTTAAAAAGCTCTTTAGGGTTCTCAATAATTTTTAAGGCAATAAAGGGGTCCTAACGAGGCAGGGCCTGGTTGGGACCTGTCACAGTGTCCTGACCTCACCTTTCCTTGACCTATAGATCATCCCCCTGGAGCTGGAGCTTGGAATGTCCCCTGTCCCACCTGTTTTAGAAAATTACCCTGAAAACTTATGATTAATATCCTTAGGCTTATTGATCACAATCTCAATGGTCTACCAGGCTACTCTAGTCATTGTTCCTGAGGTGCTGATGCCACTGGAAAATCATCTTGCCAGAGGGGAGGTTCCATGGAGACCCCCAGGAAAGTAGTTTCTGGAGGAATGCCCGCATTGTCCCTTAAATACCCTAAACTGGCCTGGGAATGTGAAGGCAGTTTTTGGAGGTGCTAACCCGCTGTCTTCTCAGATCACCGGTGCTCTGATAATAACGCTTATTCTATAGCCCAGCTCCTGTGTCGGTCTATCGGCTGAGCAGCGCAGGCAGCTCAAGTCCCGGACTCACTTGGCCTCTGGTTTCACTAAGACCAAAAAGATAGTGAACTGCTACAATAGAATAATTAATATACTTTGCAAAAAATGGACTCAACCTACTATTTATAAACTGTCCTAAGCTTTAAAATCACAGCAGCAATTTTTTAGAGAAATAGACGGGAGATAGGTTGGGCAGATGTCTCAAGAGGATCTCAGAAGATCTGGCAGTAAAGGACACTGACATACACTAGAGCTGTGCTGTGGGAAAACTGAAGCCACATTCACTGTTAAGCCAACAGGAGAGAAGGTCAGGCTTGTGTGGGGGTGAGTGGGGAGGCGTGACGACAGGCTGCAGTGACAGGAGCACAAGCCCTGCAGTCAGAAGCACAGGGTTCAAATCCTGACTCCAGCACTTAGTAATAGTATAGCTATATAACTTTAGATAAATTAGTTAATCTCTCAAGTCCTCAATTTCCTCATTCTTCCAGATAAAATCAGAGAAACTGCAGGGGAGTTCTGGGACAAAGAATGTTACTACCATGTGGAGCATCTAAGCAAGTCTTGGCAGTCAGCCATGGCCTCTAGGAATCTACATTTTTTTTTCAGATGGGGAAATTAGAGGAAGTGAACATTTTCATGCAAAGCAGGACATCACAGAAGCCCAGATTTATTTTTTGAGCTAGAGAGCAATCAGTGCAACTCTGTGCTAAAGCGTATAGATTAATCAGGGACCATTCAGCAGCAAAGTGTTAATAGCACTAAGGTACTCATTAACTAGCTCAGTGATGGCTCACAAGACAAGGGTTGGATTACAACAAAGCTGCAATCACTTTTCCCCAAAAGAGGCTGAATGAGGAGAAAGGTGAGGTGAAGGTGAGACAGAGATGGCTCTGGACCATAAAGAAGTCCCAGAAGGGGTTACATCAGATTTATAAAAGTCCTCCATTCATTTGTCCAACAAATATCTAAATGCTAGCCATGTGCAAAGAAGCAGGCCTTGACTTTAGGGCTTTATCTAAGAGAGGGGAGGATATGAACATAAGAAAATACAGAGGGTGCCAAAAAAATGTATACACATTTTAATAAAGAAAAAAACTATTAAAATTGTAAAAATATACACTGGTAACAAAAGGTGAATACAAGTCTGCAATTACAAGAGGTGCTAAAAGTGGTTACCATCAGCGTCCAGACACTTCTGATTATGGCGAACTACTGCTTAAGCAATGCTGACCAAAGTGTCCACCTATATACATTTTTTTGGCACCCCCGGTATAATGTCACTGAGTAAAAGGTAACACATAAAGAGTTATGTATAACATATAATAGAAAGATGAAACAGTTTCCAATTGTGTGTGAAATGGGGGAGGGGTCAGGGAAGGTTTCTTGAGAGAAGGATGTGAAGAGCCAGTATGATGTGGACATTCAGAGATGGAAGAGTACGGCACCTTAGGGTGTTTCTGGAGCAAAACGGAGGGTAGGAAACACGCATCATATATGAGAAGCATGTGGTAATTCATGCGGTTTAGGTACGGGGTGCTTGGTGGGGCACAGTGGCTGCGTACTGGAAGCTGAGTCCAGGGGAAGGAGTACTATGAATTCCAGCTAAAGGGCTGGGACTTCGTTAGGAAATGGAGTAACTTTGATTAGGGGAATTCCCTCTCCCATTCTTAATAACTATTCCAAAATGTCAATATTTTCTTTAAACCCCTTACTCAACCTCTCTGTCCCTTCAATACGATTCTTAATTTCCTACATTACTGAAAACTAGAAACTGTCAGGTGTCATCTTCCTCAGCTTCCTACTCCCTATCTACACATTTAACCATGCCCATCCTCCCCTATTTTCCTGATGTTTGGGGGGTACAAAGTGCCCCTTTCCTGTTAGAGACTACATCTATTTTTACATCTTCCAAGACTGTATACTTTATTTTCTTTTCTATTCTACTCCATTTTCTACCTCGACCTCCCTTTCTGGGTTTTTCCCCTACAGGTTAAAAAAAAATGCTTATTTTTTACCCATACTTTTTACATAAGCTTGAGTGAGAAGTCTACACTCACTGTCTCCACTTCCGACTCAATACGACATCCATCCTTACGCTGGACTGAAATGTGTCTTTAAAGTTCTCAATGCCTTATATTGCCAAATCCAATAGACATCTCACAAAGCATCTCTGTTAAATTTCAAGCTACTGACCACTCCTCTGTCCTCTCCAACCCTGAGTGCTCTTGGCTTACTGAACTCTTGGTTCTCTTAGCACCTCCAATGACTGCTCATTTGTTTTCCTTTATGAGCTCCATCTCTGATGCCCATGGACACCAGTGGTCGTGTCCTTGGCCCACTGTTCTTTTACTCAACTCAATCTCTTTGAGTAAATTCATCAAGTTTCATGGTTTCAGATACCACCTCTCAATGCAGCGTCTCTTCTCTGAGCTATCATTTGACTTCATGTGTGTCTAAAAGACCTCTCTCTATTTGGTTATCCAACAAGTAATTCAACTTGGGATGTCCAAAGCGGAACGTACTTTTCTTCTAAACCCAGAATGTCCTTTCTTCTGTCTGACCGCTCCCTCACAACAAACACATACATTACTTAATCAATTGTTGCTTATCCTTTATTTACCTTCCCCAGAAAATCTTCGCAGAACCTCTAGGTTGGGACAGATCTGTGCCTTCCAAAACACCCCAGCATATCTCAATGATGGAATAATGCGTTGATGCTATTACACAAAGAACTTTTAAATGTATCTGGCTGCTCCTCTATACTCTAGCTCCCTAGGACAGGGATGGTACTTTAACAACCTTTTAATCTCTAGGATCTGGCACAATCCTTGACACATGGTAGGTACTCCATAACTGCCTGGTGGTGAACAACGAGAGCTATGTTTTAGGAGCCATCTGCTGACAGTACATAAAATGCAAAGGAGAGGGAGAAAGACCAGAGGAAACAAAATTATGGTGGATAACTACAGGAGAAATAATAAGAAAGTCTGAACTAAGATAGGATTAATAGGAATAGAAAGAAGGGGATGCACATGAGGGATTTTGCTGTGATAAAATGAATAGGACTAGCAAAAGACTGAACTGGGAGGTGAGAGATGCAAAAAAGAGGCACAATGAAAGGATCCCTGGGAAACAAGAACAGACTGGATACAATACCATAATCAGTAACTGCAACTATTCTATACCTTATAAACTTTCCAGCATTCCTTTAAAATGGGGATTTAAATGGCCTAAGAATTGAATTTTGGTGGTGTTCTTTGAAATCCACATATGATCTATTATATAATGATATTTATAGTAATAGAATGCTCAATAATTACACATAAGTCTTTCCCTCCTCTTTCTCTTAGTCTTCCCATTTATCAAAGTTGGGTAAAATGGAGTCTTGTAATCTGCCATAGGCTAATTTATCAGCATGACATTATATATCTAGGATAATTAATTACTAGAACTAGCCACACTCAAATAAGGTGACCTAAAGAGTTTCATCACTTTATTTTTCAAACCTACAATTACATGTAATTCTTAAACAGAGGTGTTTGAGCTAAATTCTGATGTTCAGATGCCAGGAGGAGAAAAGTTCTTCCTGATGCTTTAGAACATAGGCTTGCTGGTGTGACACAAAGTCTGCAAAGGTCATCACATTGTCCTAGGGCTGGCTTTAGAGCAGAGAAGGGAGGGCAGGATTAGGGCAGAGGAAGGTCCTAATATGCCAGTAACAAACACTTCCTCCTACAGGAGAACAATGTGGAGTAGGAGAGGCAGGCCTGAGGGTGCAGGGATGGGTCTGAAAATGTAAAGCCAAAGGGGAATATGTGAATCAAGTGAGATTAGGAAACCTGGAATTTCTTAGGCTGTCTGACCCAGTGCAAAGAGCTCACCTGATTCATGATGGAAAATTTCCTTCCTATCCTGTTGTCTGGCAGTCGAAAGCCCTTCCTCCGCATACCATCTTCTGACTCTGACTTAAACACCTTCTCAGGATCCCCTTTCTCCTCCCCTTCAGAGAGTTCCTTTTGCTTCTTCTTCTTTCTTCTGTTACGTCTTTCCTTGGCACTCTTGGAACTGAGTTTAGAAATTTCAGATGAGCTCCGAGGAGAGCCTACGCCTTCTTCGCCTTCTTCCTCTATGGCGTCTTCTGAGACAGTTCCTGCTGAAGTGGCCATCGCAGCAGCCTAAGAACGGAACCATAGCAACAGACCAGATCAGAAGCAGTTACCTAGAGCCACCCAAAGATCCTTTCCTTTCCCTTAGATAGGGAAAGGAGGGAAATAGGAGGAGGAAAACCAGTCTGTCAGAGGAGACTGTGACCAGGGCCTGGCTGTCTCCGTATTCTAGTTGAATTTGTATGATGGCACACAGTCCTGAGTCATCAGAGCAGAACCCAATGGTGAGAACTTTGGGATTTATTCTCTTGAGTACCTCAGATAAGAACTTGGCTGCATTCTTGATGTCAAATGATCCTTTCTGAACAACGCTGAAAATGAATGCTAAGAAACTATATTGTACCTATGGGACCCACAATAGAAAAATACATGTATATTTGGATAAGGATAATTAGGGTGGTGGGATTACAGGTTTGTTTTTCAAATTTTACTTTACTATTTTACCTGTACCTTCTATTCAATTACAATCAATCCTTTTTATGACCACAGAGAATCTCTGAAGGAAATCCTAATATTTTCAACAACAAAAAGGCTATGCTTACAGGAAGCACTATATAGATTGCTCTGGTCCCTTTTTTCTCCCCAGCTACCATGGCAGTTGAACACTGAACAGTTGAGAAATTCAACAAAAGATCATATTAACAAATAATTGGCCATTAATACAAATGAAATAATTGAACCAACCATCTGCAGTTGTTACTTGCGTTATTTTAATCAGATCGATGACTTCTATTTGACAATGTGCCTAGAAAAGATCAACTGGATAGGCAATCAGACGGGGCCTTAGTCATGGCGACCTGGCAGGAAGGACTATTGCAAAGAATTGATCACCAACCTGAGCCTCTTCCTGTTGTTTCTTAAGTTGCTCCAACATTGCTTTGAATTCAGCCTCCTTCTGCTCTGCCTCCTCCAGTGTTGCCTGATTCTGCTCTTCATAAGCCATGGCCACCACAGCCAAGATCAAGTTCACCAGATAGAAAGAACCCACAAAGATGACCAAGACAAAGAAGATCATGTATGTTTTCCCAGCTGCTCGTAAAGTCTGTAAAGACAAAGATAATTTTTTGAGTCACTTGCATTAAGTGATTCAGGTTGAATATTCCTCTGTAGGGGCATTACTGCATTTTGAACAGGACAGTCCTTCACTGCGTGGTACTCTTTCATACTGCAGAGCACTTAACATCCCCCATGCCCAAATGGCCTCTCCTGGCCTCAACTCACTGTAAACGTCAGTAATACTTCCCATTCACTGTCACAAAAAACGTCCTTTTCCATTTCCAAATACAATTAATATACTCCTTTCATAGACAGATGCTTGATTTTTTTTTCAAAGGAAAAAATTGCTCTGGGCTAAGAATTATATTTGCCTTTGTCAGTTGGTTCTAAAACAAGTATAAAGAAAATAATACAACACTTCAGCTCATTTATCTACTAGTCCCCCAAGAGCATTAACAGAGAAATTCCATTTCTGGGATCATTTCCAAGTCACAGGAAGGCCCCATCTTGAGTGACATCCTTCTTTATCCTTTTGTAATAGGATGGCCCTTTAAAGAGGAATATGGTATAAAGGATAGTGGGGGGAAAAGAAAAAGGAAGAAGCATCCTAGGACTTCCTTTCACTGGCAGTGAGCAAACAGACATCAAAGAACAATTGGGTTTTAGGTTATGCATACATGACCCACTATTACCCAATAAAGTTTTCATCTTTATTCTTTTCAACCACAAATATTTAATGGAATTTAACATCAACCATAAATATTCCTTAGGGGATTTGAATTAGAAGCTTCCCTTGAAGAGGTTCCTGAGGGGACATGTTTCTCATTCTCAAACTAAGTGACATCATCAAATGTTAGAGTCAAATAGAAAACACTGCATTGTCATAAAATTTCTCAGCTGGAAGACTCTTGGCAATAATCTAGACTAACTTCTCTATCACAACCAGCAGAGTTAAATGAAGTGCCCAGAATTACTGATGTGACCCAAGAGAATGGTCCTGACCTTTTTAAAGATCTGTCACAACCTGCTTGAACAAGTCCAAATGTGTTACAAATCTCAAAAATATTGATATATTTAGATTCCAAGGTCCTTGTGGATAGAAATCTCATCTTTATAATGTCTAGCATAGTGCCTTGCACAATATGTTTAATTAATATTTCTTTAAAAGGTGCCATATGGACTCATGTCCTGTTAGGGAGACCACTTCATAGTTGGTGTAGAGGCCTGACCACCGCACTGTATTTCTGAAGCTGATGTTGAATAATATTGTATGTCAACTATAATTATATATACATATAGTCACGGGACATGGAGTAGAGAGTGAGAATGGAATCAATGGAATTGTAATAGATAAGCATGATATCGGGGGTGGGAGGGCAGTAGATGGGGGAAGGGGGGTTGTTACTTTGTGAGGGTGAAAAGGGTAACTATTGCATTGTTCTGTACATCTGAAACTAACAACAACAACAACAACAACAACAACAACAAAAGGTGCCCCAAACCCAAAAATCCAAAAGCAGAAATATGGCAGATGGTCTGGTGAACCAATAGGAAATAGGTAGACATAGCAAATTCCCAGTTCAGGCAAGAGGCTGTGAGCCTTTATAGCTATACATGACTGAGCATTAAAGAGCATAAAGAAACAGGGACAAGAGCCGGGAGAATACACTTAATTTTATAAACCAGAGAAATACCATCCTAAGATGACTGTATAATGTCTTCACTAAAGGTCTCTTACATAGAATTTCCCCAACCCCACATATCTTCATGCAAATTTTATCAAAGGAAGAGCTATTACTTACCAATTGATACAAGTTTTCCCAGTAGTCCTGGGTCATCAGGCGAAATAATGCCAAGAAGGCCCAGCTGAAAGTGTCAAAGCTTGTGTAACCATAGTTGGGGTTCCTTCCAGCTTTCATACACTGGTATCCCTCTGGGCATTGCCTGAGGAAAGAAAGCGAAATTCAGGACTTTACAACCTAATTCTACCCAGTCATCAGCTTTAAGTCATCTCCATGACCTTGCAGGTAATAAATAACCATCTATAGAGGCAGGCCAACAAATGGGAATTAAAAAAAAAAAAGAAGAACAGAAAGAAAGAAAGGAAGAAAGAAAGAAAGAAAGAAAGATAGAAAGAAAGAAAGAAAGAAAGAAAGAAAGAAAGAAAGAAAGAAAGAAAGAAAGAAAGAAAGAAAGAAAGAAAAGAAAAGAAAAGAAAAAGAGGAAGGAAATAAAGTAAAGTAGCCAGGTCAATTTTCCAAAGAATGATGTCCCGAGGACAGGCAAGGATCAGAATCACCTGGCATGCCTCTTAAAAATGCTGATTTCTGTGTCCTACCCTAGACCTGGGAATAAAAGCTCTGGATATGGAATCCGTGAACCTGCATGTTTAAGAGGCACACCAGGGGATTCTTAGATTTGACAAAGTGTGAGAAGCACTGTCCTTGATTCACATCAATGCACAATTCAATCAAGTTCAACTAAGCTACTATCCCAAATGACAAATGGCTAGAAGTTCCTCTTTATTATCTCCGTTCTCTTAATACTCACTGTGACAACCTATGTAATACTGGGGTTTTCAGTGATCTGGGTTATAACAGTTCTTCTGCTTTGAGACTCATCAGATATTTATTTCAATGTAATTTCTAGTTATCTACTTCAACACAGAAATTAAATGGACTTCAGTTGTCATGGTCATCTTAAAACACCAGTTCCCTGAATAATGACACTACACCCTACATTTATATAGCTTTCTGTTTACAAAGCACGTTCATGTATATTATCCTTATAGTAATCCTTTGAAGAAGTGAGGATTTATTAAGTCCACTTTATAGATGAAGAAACTGAGTCTCGCATAAGTTAAATGGCTTGCCCAAAGTCTTAGAACTAGAAGTAGCAGAACCAGGACTTAAATTACGTTGCTGCATACTCATGCTCATAGCAGCATTACTCACAATAGCTAAAACATGGAAGCAACCCAAATATCCACAAACAGACGAATGGAAAAACAAAATGTGGTTTTGTTCCACACAATGGAATATTATTCAGCCTTAAAAAGGAAGGAAATTCTGACAAATATTATAACATGGGTGAACCTTGAGGACATCATGCTAAGTGAAATTTCAGCCAGTCCCAAAAAGACAACTACTGTATGATTCCACTTATATAAGGTACTTATAGTGGTCAAATCATAGAAACAGAAAGTAGAATGGTGGTTGCTGCATGCTGGGGGGAAGTAGGGAGTGGGGGTTATTGTTTAATGGGTATAGAATTTCATTAATGGAAAGATGACGTTTCATTCATTTATATTGGAAGTTTCATTCATGGGAAGGTGAAGAGTTCTGGCAATGGATGGTGGTGATGGCTGCACAACAAGGTGAATGTACTTAATACCACCGAACTGTACATTTAAAATGGTTAAGAGAATAAATTTTGTTATATGTGTTTTACAATTAAAAAAAAATTGACAAAAGATACTATGTTGCTACTCTTCCCTCTCCCATGCTGTCAGGCCTAGCATAGTTTGGGTCACCTTCGGGTGCTCCCTAGCACTAAAATGGTATCTTTACTCCATATTTTATTGGTTATTATGATACAATGAGGGGAGTCTACAAGAGATAAGCAAAATACCTGGTGTTACAGATTCTCTCCTTAGCCTTTTACATCTTTGATTTTGGCTTGAGACTATAGGCACATTGAGCTACTAGTGAAATGTCAACTTTGTATGGACAGATATGAAACGGAAAGAAGAAAATCTGAGTCAACCAGTACATTAGACCCAATTAGGGTCTCCTACTTGAGCACAAAGAAAAGTGAAAATATTGCCCATTTTTATCTGACAAATTATTTTAAGGGAGGAGAATAAAATTAGGTGAGCTACTTACCCAGCATCAGAACTGTTCCCACAGAGTAAAGGTTCTAGCATGCCAGGAACCGTGTAAAAATTTGCTAGAAAAGTTTGAAGAGGCAGGAAATGAATAAGGCAGATTTAAGTGAATGAGAAAATAAGGTTACACTGTTCCTAACTAGACCCCGGCAGAAACAGTTATTGATTTCAGCTCATATAAATCTTTTCTGACATCAGTGAAACCTGATAAGAATTCTTTCCCATTATTTTCCTATATATGTACATTTAAAAATTAAAGATGCTACTGTAAAGCCCTTAGTGCAATGTTCTTTTCACAGACACCTGACTTCCACTTGTACTTCAAATGTAAATGCTAAGTTCTAGTACTTGAATTAAAGGGGTCTCAAAGAGAGTTTTTTGAGTTCTTTACCCCTTTATACAACTTGATCATTCTATCCTTATAACTGTTCTTTACCAAAGATAAACTAGAAATCCTCATTGATCACCAGTTACCATGTCCTATATTAAATTAGGAGGCATGTTTCCCTTTCCTGTATGTGTCCCTGAAATCCCCTTTGCAATATTTTCTTATAGTTACTTAACTGTCTTTATTTCCTTAAGAGTGACTAATAGTGACATTGCTAACTTTTCCCCATTCTTTTATGGAAGTACTACTACACCAAACGTTCCTTAGTGTAAGACCCAAGTGCTCTGGTTCCTGAAATGAAATGATTAAAACTTCTTCTTAACAGTAATAGGATCAAATGGTGCCTTAGAGATTACCTGACTCCCTAGACCAGATTGATGATTAAAGTCTTGCAGTATTAAAAAAGCTTACTAGGTATATTCTGGACCAAATGTTTGAAGAGCCCAGGTAACCTATCTAGGGAAAAAAGGATTGCTATCCAGCGGCTAAGTCTGATTTTCAAAGCAAAAGTTTAGGGGTACATGGGCCAAAGCTATAAAGTTTCATTTTGGGTTTTAAAGGGAGAGAAGAGAGAGAAGGAGAAGTGACTAATGTCTGAGAGCTTCTGAACACAATCCTACCTCGAGGGAAGAGAAGGACTTCCCAAGGCTATTTCCAGTAACACTGGCATGCCTTTCTGGCCCCAACTACTTTTTAAAGCCCAGTGGTGGCTTCTGACCATGTACACTACAGACAGATTTTTCTTTCTCTTCTTGCAGAGAAGGGGCCACCTACTTTTATTGTTGATATACTCTTCCCAATCAAAGCCTTTGGTGCCATTCTCAAGATAGCTATCATTGAAGTTTATGGGCCACACAACACACTTGTTTCGCAGGTTTCCCATGAACAGCTGCAGTCCGATCAAGGCAAAAACACTCAGGCAGAACACTGTCAGGATCATCACATCTGACAGCTTCTTCACAGACTGAATTAGGGCACCCACAATGGTCTTCAGGCCTGAGGAGATAGAACCCCCAGAATCAGAATCACCCCATAGCCCTCCCCACCTCCCCTGGCCTCCCTCTTAGCTACTAGCTTCCACTCCTCCCCATAGCACCACCCTTGAAACATGGCCACTTTATCTTTTTATACCACGAGAATAACAATGGGTCAGCAATATTGTCAATTTTTCCAGAAGTATCCATTTTTAAGTCAATAATTTTTAAAAAGGAAAAAAGAAAGTTCCTTCTCCAACATGTGGTTCATTTGTCCCCGGAAGTACTTTCCAGTCTCTGACTGCTTCTCAGCTCCTAAATGAGGCAAGCGCTTCTTACTTGCCTCAGGGCCTTCGTGTGTGCTGTTCCTTCTGCCTGGAATGCTCCCTTCCCTTCCCCTGTCCTTCTTGTCTCGCTCCTATTCACCTTCCGGTCTCAGCTTAAATATCAATTCCCCCAGAAAGCCTTTCCTGGTGTTACAGCTCTTCTCCTTCCCCCATTATTATTAGTATTTTAATAGCACCGTATATTTTCCTCTGTAGCATTTATCATGGTTGTAATTAATTATTTATGTCTGTCTTGTTCACAGATGTATCTATACTTCCTAGCCCACAGCAGGTCCTCAGTAAATATCAGCTGAATAAACAAATGGAAAAATCAGGAATTGAAGAGGCTTCCAGGTTGGAAAGAGAACTACTGGAAATTTAAAGCCAATAATAAGTGAGATGGTACAACAGCATTTTCCCAAGAGCTCTGGAAATGCCAACGCATTGAAAGATTAATTATTATCAATTGAGTATTTATGGTTTGTCTTTTCATTTAAACATACAGCTTCTCTGTATCACATATATGCCCTGTTCTCTACAACTGACCTTTTTTCTGTCCTAGGTTTGAAAACAAACAAACAATAAAAACCATATAACCTACTTGAATTTGAGGTTTAAATGCAAGCCACTGGTTCAAATTTGGACCTGTAGGTAGATTTTTTTAACTGCACAGAGAAAGATCAGTGATAGGAGACACAGCAAAACATGGTTATGGATTCATAATGTTCGGGTCAAACCTGAGTCTACATGGCTCTCCTGGGCATGCCCAGACATGAGGCTATCTAGAGGGCACAGCCAACAAAGCGCTGGGCACTCCTGGGGTGCCCATGCACCAGCATGGACAGGAGGCAGACACAGGGCCTTGACACACAGGCCTCAAGAGGGATCTCCTTGCTGATCTACTTCTGAAGGCAAGAATATTGGACAGCAATTCAAGGGAAATCCCACTCCTGGCTTTGAAGTGTGGGGCTGGGTAGATAATTACTAATCTAACCAGGTTATACCACTAACTTTACGACCTGAGCAATACACTTAACTTCTTAGAGTATCAGTATTTTCATCATTAAAATGGAGATAATTATAGTTGAATATAATAGGATGTTGTGAGGATTCAGCATGATTCATAGAAACACTTAACACAGCACCTGGTACACAGTACATGACTCAAATGTTATCCATTTTTGTCTGAACCTCAGTTTACTCATCTATAAAAAGGTATTTAGAATACCAGCCTCATTGGGTTGTTGTGAGGTTTAAATTAAGATAATGACTACAAAATACCAATTAAAGTACCTGGCACTTAACACTTGTTTGCTATCACTATTATACATATACTGCCCTCAAAGAGATCTGATTGGGATAATAACACTGCATGGCTGACCTTGTTATGATGGTGATCTAATGGGAAACACGGACATGACTCTTCTTTTGCAAGCAATACCCTAGAATCTTCAAAGTTGAGTCCAATAGAATGTCCTATCTGAGTCCAGTAGTGGTAATGGATGCTGTGCGTAGCACAGGACCTGCCACAAAGCAGGCACTTAATATATTTTCATTGAAAGAGTAAATGAATGAGAAATTTTCTTTCCTCTCACAGATATCCTGAAAGGGATCAAAGAGAAGTTAAAGAAAAGAGCCAAGGACTGGCCAAGTGGCATGATGGTTAAGAGCTGGCTTGGGACGCCAGAGGGCCCCGGTTCGGATCCCACATATGAGGGCCAGTGACACTGCCCTCTACAGCTAAGA